GAACAGCAATTGTGCAGCTTTTCCACATGTGCAGGAGAAAGCCTGCCTCCTCCCATCAGCCGGAGAGTCTGCGAAGACTTGTGAGGACGGTTTGCATATTTTGCGTAGTGTCTCTTCAGTTTTATTTTTCTCCTCTCGTATGATGATATCTTGTTGTCTCTTCTTTCTCTCTCTGATCCAGGCTTTGCAAGACCTTCAGCCCTTTGCTAAAGGAGATGGAAATTCCAGCCCAGCAGGTATGGACTCTCAGGAACACCTGGTGATGTCAGGAGCTGAGACCATCCAGGCATCTGCCAGGCATCTGCCTCTTGGAGAACAGACCTGTTTTCCTTTCCCTGTTTGGCAGTTTTATTATTTTCCCTATGGCTTAGAGGAACCAGTCATTCTCTCCCCTGCATTTGTTAGAGAATTTGCATCAAAAACGTTGCCAGCGGGGCCACAGTACCTCTGTGGCTTCTGTCCTTCCATCCTTTCGTTTTATTCTCCCCCGCCGGACCTCAAAGGTGGAATCCTGCGTGTTCGCAACCCAGTAGCTGCAATCGAGCGCCCAAAGGGCCCAGGAGGAGGAGAAATCCTTCTGAAGCCCATGCACTTCCTCGTGTAAAATGTGAGGAGCTGTGAGGACCAGTGAGCTCGTGCTCATTCCGCGGGTGGGATGAGGTCGGAGGGAGCTGGCGCGCTTCTGGGCCGCGCCTTCTACAAGGTCTTAGAAATCCCGAGCAGAGGATCCCTGGGGATGGGGGGATGGGGAGGGACTCGAGTGGGTTTCGCTTTGTTTTGACCACGCCCGCGCTGCATTCCTGCCGGGATCTCCCTGCTTCCCTTCGGATCTCGAGCCACGTTCCGACCCGAATGCAATCACCACCCGCACCCGCACCCGCACCCGCACCTGTTCTACCTCCCCCCTGACTTCAGCACCCAGAGAAAGGCTCGCTGCGCAGACCCCGTCTCCCCCTAAGGCTGGTGCGCAGAGCCCGGAGGGTCCCCGAGGCTGGAAGCGCTTGGCGACGCCTCTTCGCTCCAGGCCCTCCGGCCCCGCTCGCTCTCGGGCTCCCTCCTGTGGGCCCTTATTTCCACCCCCGTCCTGTCGCCCCTTGGGTCTGTTCCCGAGGCTCCGCTTCCCTTTTATGTTTTTTTTTTTTTTTTTTCTTCCCTCGGAAACCGCGCCACTATCCCTAGTCGCCCCGTGCAGGTTCCCGGCCTCAGCGGGACGAGTCAGTAGGCCGAGCGAGCACCCCAGAGTCAGCGTGCAAAGGGGCCTTGGCTGCGGGACCCTTCGGGGCCGGCCCTGCGCGGTGGTGGGTGTGGTCGCCGCCGCCCTGCATCCCTGGCGGGAAAGGGTAGAGATGCTCAGCCTTTGCCTGGGGGATTTCAGATCCAGTTTGAATCTCCGCGAATTGCAGTGTTGGTTTAGGGACCCTGGCCTTCTAAGCTTTTCTTTCACCCTGGCGACAGGGTGCCCTCCACTGCTCTCTAGGCGCCTAGAGTATGAACTGGGAAGCCTTAGCCTTGGGGACAGCGGGACCCGTTCCCTCAGGGTAGGCGACAGGTGGGCCCCGCGGAACCCCAGCTTCCTCTGTAGGTGGTTCAGATGATTTTCTCGAAAACTGTGCAGTCCGTTTCAGATCACACATTTTCACCCACGCACTGCCTTTTTCATAGACACAAAGGGGAGCGTGCAGAGAGGATGTAGAATCCCCTCTAATCCTGGGGCTGTGGATTAACAAGGGAAACAAGTCTCTGCTCTGAAGAAGTTTGAGCCCCACCCTGTCCCTGAGGACCTTCTGATGTCAGGATTTCTCCGCTGACACTGGGGCTGTCCCAATGACCAGAGTTCCCTACCATTTAGCCCTAGAGGAATAGGGGAGGGTCCACCTTCTGTACAGCATCCTGTCCCCTCCCCCAGGGTAAGATGACCCCAGACATCCTTGTGCCTCCATGGTTTTTTTTTTTTGTTTTGTTTTTGTCTGTTTTTTCCCACCAGTAATGAGTAAAGATCAAATCATTTGGCCCTTTGTTCCCTCCCTCCCCACTTCCCAGTGGCTGCCTTACTTGGGTCACCGCCCAAGTCCAAAACCTTTCTCTTCAGTTAATTAATTAGTTTGAGAGAGAGAGAGAGAGAGAGAGAGAGAGAGCGAGCTTGTACAAGCAGGGAGAAGACTAGAGGGAGAAAGAGAGGATCTTAAGCAGGCTCCATGCTCATCATGGAGCCCCACTCAGGGACTGGATCCCATGACCCTGGGACCATGACTTATGCCAAGATCAAGAGTCAGATGCTCAACCAGCTGAGCCACCCAGCCCCCTTTCCCCAAAAGCTTGCACTTTTTTTTTTAATTTTTTTAACGTTTTTATTTATTTTTGGGACAGAGAGAGACAGAACATGAACAGGGGAGGGGCAGAGAGAGAGGGAGACACAGAATCGGAAACAGGCTCCAGGCTCTGAGCCATCAGCCCAGAGCCTGATGCGGGGCTGGAACTCACGGACCGCGAGATCGTGACCTGGCTGAAGTCAGAAGCTTAACTGACTGCGCCACCCAGGCGCCCCAAAAGCTTGCACTTTTAATCACTGACGAGGTGTTGGAGCTGCCCTGTGGTTCCCAGCGTCATATCTGAGTCTTTCATATCTCATTCTGTTTGACAACTGGTAGAGCCTGAAGAAGTTTGAACCAGCCAAGAGAATTTAGGAAAATTCCATTAGAGCTTGGCAGGCTTCCTGGAGCTCCCATTTACAATTGTGTGCTGAGAAGATGGATCACCTGCCCTGTGCTGGTGAAAATGAAGCAGGAGATCATTGGTGAGTATAGAATGGAAGGATTTGGACAATTGGATGATGGGTGGGATCATTGCTCAAGAGAGGAGCAGGTTTTGCATTTGGGATGAATTCTGTCTTTGACACTTGAAGAATGGTGTGCCAGAGGAAAATTGTAATGGAGATGTCAATGAGATCATTACTTTGTGATATGACTTTTGCAGAAATATATGGACTTAATGTGAGAATAACAGATAGACACGTGGGACATGATGAGTTCATGCTGGAAAGGCATATACATGAGAATATGTAGATTTCCAAGACAGAGACAGCAGTGAAGGGAAACCAGGAGTTTATGGTACTTGAAGGAAAGGAAT